CCTAATCCTTGCAGCCCCGCGCTGGGCCCCTGTAATAGCCCTGCTCTCTGGCTGTGCAAATTCAGCCTCCAGGTGTTGAACCTCAGAGGTCCATGCCTGAGTGAAGCTTTCACCCTTCCCTTCACAAATATTATGGAGGGCACAGCACGCGGATAAAACCGTGGGGATGCTGTTTTCGGCCAAGTCCAGCTTCCCATACAGAGATCGCCAGCGGGCCTTTAAACGGCCAAAGGCACACTCCACAGTCATTCGGCACTGGCTCAGCCTGTAGTTGAACTGTTCCTTGCTGCTGTCAAGGCTCCCTGTGTAGGGTTTCATGAGCCACAGCATTAACCGGTAAGCGGGATCTCCAAGGATCACAGTGGGCATTTCAACTTCCCCTACCGTGATCTTCCGCTCTGGGAAAAAAGTCCCGGCCTGCATCTTCCTGAACAGCCAAGTGTTCCGAAAGATGCGTGTGTCATGCACCTTTCCGGGCCAGCCTGTGTTAATGTCAATGAAACGCCCACGGTGATCCACAAGCGTTTGGAGAACCATAGAGAAATACTCCTTCCGATTAACGTACTCAGATCCTAGGTGGGGTGGTGCCAGAATAGGAATGTGCATCCCATCTATCGCCCCTCCACAGTTAGGGAACCCCATTTGTGCAAAGCCATCCACTATTTCCTGCACGTTACCCAGAGTCACGGTTCTTCTGAGTAAGATGCAATTAATGGCCTTGCAAACTTGCATCAACATGATTCCAATGGTCGACTTTCCCACTCCAAACTGGTTTGCTATCGACCGGTAGCTGTCTGGAGTTGCCAGTTTCCAGATTGCAATAGCCACCCGCTTCTCCACTGGCAGGGCAGCTCTCAATCTCGTGTCCTTGCGCCGCAGGGTGGGGGCAAGCTCCTCACACAGTCCCATGAAAGTGGCTTTTCTCATCCGAAAGTTCTGCAGCCACTGCTCGTCATCCCAGACTTCCATGACGATGTGATCCCACCACTCGGTGCTTGTTTCCCGAGCCCAAAAGCGGCGTTCCAGAGTGCTGAGCATGTCCGTGAATGCCACAAGCAATTTCGTGTCGTACGCGTTACGCGGCTCGATAGCATCGTCGGACTCCTCACTCTCACTTTGGATCTTAAGGAATAGTTCGACAGCCAAACGTGACGTGCTGGCGACATAAGTCAGCATACGCCTCAGCAGTTCGGGCTCCATTTCCCGCAGACAGATCGCGCTGCACAGAAACCGTTGAAAGATGGCGCCAAAGGTGGACGGAAACAAAGGGATTTCTGGGATGCGAAGCGATGCATCACGGGGCGTTGGGACAGGAGCCAGAATGCCCCGCACCTACACCCCCTTCCCACAACCCACGGCGCCAGAATGGGAAGAGGTGCTCTGTGGGATAGCTGCCCATAATGCACCGCTCCCAATAGCGCTGCAATTGCCGCAAATGTGGCCACGACAGTGCGCTGGGCAGCTGTCAGTGTGGACAGACTGCAGCGCTTTCCCTACTCAGCTGCACGAAGTCAGGTTTAACTCACAGCGCTGTACATCTGCAAGTGTAGCCAAGGCCTCAGACTTAGTCAATATCAAAAGGCAGGTGAATGAGTTTAGCCCCATGCTGGATATGACCCTTCATTAGTGCAGCTGTAAATATAAGTTATTAGATAGGAGTTATTAGACTTGCAGTAAAGAAACAGTCCTGCAACACCAAAGTCTAAAATTAAAGTTTATTTTAATTTCAGAGGGAAACAGCAAATAACTACAAGTTTGTCTTAGAATTACACAAAAGACACAATTTTCCTCTTTTTTAATGTGTAGTTCCCACTACTGTCTGGCACTTTGAGATAACTTGTTATATTTCTCATAACTGGCACTTTAAAAAGGGTTTTACATTTCACATGCATAGCTTCAAATAAGCAACTCCCTGTGCAACTCTGGCTGATTTTTAATTCAATAATTTAAATTTGATTCAGTATTATGTCAGCATCTATTAAAAAAGACCTTTCATCATAAATACTATCTTGGCCAAATGTCTGTATACAGCAGTGATAAACAAACAATAGATTATAAAAGCAGGTGGCTTCTATTCCTACACAAAAGAGTAGATTAAAAACATACTAGAAGGGATGCAGGTGGGAGGAGAGAGAGCATGGCATTCCTTTGATTTAGCTACCTCCCCTCAGCACTTTTGTATACTGAATTGCCCAATCATTGTGTATTATTTCTATTGGGTTAGCTAACTGATTATCTTTTCCGGAAGTGTAGTCATTTTTGTTTTACTTTAAGACTTTCTTTTGGCCCCGATACATTTTTTTTAGCTGCAAAATGAGGATCCAATTCTGGAAGGTAACAAGGACCCCCCTCCACTCAACACCTTGCCAGACTGGGCCCCAACTGAGACAGTACTTTCAGAACTCATTTAACTATTTCAGTGGCATGTCAGAGGGAAGTTCCATGGCCAGCACTTTATTTTAACATTTATTTAAAAACAGCGTCTGCTTCTCATCTAAATGGCCTATTCAGCACTCATTCAGTCAAAGCTCACATTGCCATCAGCAGGAGTTTTGCCTAAAAAAGGATAATAGGACTTAATGCTTATGTCCAGAGGGCTGCATAAGCTCCCTTTCTCCACAAGAATGTATACAAAGAGTATAGGCAGTTGAGTGGCAAATCGCATAGAATATTCTATTATCAGTAAATTGACTATAATATATCTAACTGTTACAAATGGATTTATTTTCAAATATGAACATTATCCTGACTTAAAATTAAAGCTTTGCACATATATTTTTGCAAGGGTTATTTTGATTAACCTGGTCCAATTTTCAAGATTAAATAAATTCTTCTTTTATTTTGCCACAAATTCATTCACCTTTAGCCTCTTATGATGCTCAGTCCTTCAAACCACTGAGTGGTCTGGTTCCAATCCAAAGCAGAGCATTTAACCACATGATCTACTTCTTATGAAACTACTGATGTGCTCAAATTTAAGCACGGATTTAAGTGCTTTGCTGGATTTGGGCCAAGCTGTTCAGCACCATAGTCATGGTTTAGAAAAATACATTAGGTGGTGTGCATATTTTGCATCTACTTTAGTTAACCAGTATTTGTTTTTTAAAAATGATGACTAATACCAAAAATAAATGGCTTCAAGAGAAACAGTGGTTAAAATATTTTATTTGGATAACATAGAACATACTGCTGTTTACTTGAAACTGTTGTAGACTAAAAGGCACACGCTTGTTAAAAATACTTCAAATTTACATAAGATGTACAAATGCATAAAGCAAATGCACAGTTTACCAAAAAGTACAATATGGCTTCACAGGGTTGAGTGAGGGCTGGGACAATTCAACATATGTTTAAATTTCACTGGATGTTGTTAACACTTAAATGATTGACTCTAGAACACAGAAGGAAATTAATGGAGGGTAAAACATTGAGCATGTTACACAGATAGTATAGCACATCGAGTATACAACATATACCACTTATATGTGGATTCATAGGACTGTTAGGTCTGCAAATTCATCAGGCATTTGATTGCCCCAGGATAAACACTTGTGGGTTTTGATGATCTGCCAGTTTGAGAACAAATTCTTCATCAACAAACAGCTTGTTTTAAGAATCTGTTTATATATTTTAAGAGACAAAGAGGGGGAAACAATACACTTTTTAAAACAATAAATTTTGGTAATAATCAAATTGTCATAAAAATCAAAGAGTAACGGACATTGTAACCATTTTCCAGGGGTGCGGGTAATTGTGCGCATGTGGAAAAAAATAACACACTAAACATGTGAAAATGCTCCAAGACAATCATTTAGTGCTAGCCCCACCCAAATTTAAGGCTCATTTGTCTGCAATTTTCCTTAGTTTTTTTTCTTTTGTGTAAAATTACCTGAGCACAGATATGTTCACAGATATTTTAAAGCAAAACATTAATACATTGAACTAAACCTCCTAGAGAAATCTCAGGAGGGGAAAGAACTCCCAATCTTTTGGTAGGTCACTAACGCCAGGAGAAGAATGAGCTTAAGCTTTTTCTTTAAAAATGTACATAAAAATGTAATAAAATTATTCAAACATGACTGCTAAACGGTTTATTAAATTATTACAAAAAATCAAGACTCAGAATTCAGGTGGTCACTCTAGTCAGTTATTTGCTAATTCTGCCTTCAAGCTCAATGCAGATCACTGCTTGTTTCAAACATTAATAAATAGAAAACTGAAGACGAAGGACCCAATTCCGCTGTGTCCTGCATTGTCACTTACATCTGTGAAAAGTGAGTATGAAATACAGCCATTCTGAGTAGGCAGTATTTTACACTCCCTTGCACAGGTGTACGCCCCAATTCAGAAAAGCACTTAAATAAGTAAGTGTTTTAATCAGGATAGATTTAAACACATCCTTTAAATTAAGCATCTCCATAAGTGGTTTCCTGGATTGGGATCTAAATAAGTACACAAGGTGCAAGGCACTGGAGTACCAGGCCAATAGACACACCAGCTCGCCAGTGATGTCAGTGGCATAAATGCAAACAGGATTAGGCCATTCATTTCTTTAGGGTTAAAGAGAAAAAGCTTTTAAAAAGACACTGCATGAAGGATACACACACAAAAATCTTGGGCAAATAATAGATTGTGTGAAGACATTTCCCCCACACAAGACTTTGAAAACATACCCTAATAATAACCAAGCACAGTTTGTTAACCTTATTGAACTGTATGACAACCAAAATCAACCTCTCCTTGCTGCCATCCCTCAGATTCAGCTCCTCCTCCCCATGTAAAGGTATCAGAACAGACAGGGCCGGCTCCTGCTTTTTTGCCGCCCCAAACGGCGGGGGGAGAGAAAAAAAAAAAAAGAAAGCCGCAATCGATGGCACTTCGGCAGCAGCTCTACCGTGCCGCTTCATTCTTCAGCGGCAATTCGGCGGCGGGTCCTTCCCTCCGAGAGGGAGTGAGGGACCTGCCGCCGAATTGCCGCCAAAGACCTGGACGTGCCGCCCCTTTCCATTGGCCGCCCCAAGCACCTGCTTCCTTTGCTGGTGCCTGGAGCCGGCCCTGAGAACAGATATGGACTTCACTTCAACCAATTTTCAATTGCATACGAGCTCCAGTAGCACATGGACCTCTTTCACATAAAATAAAGAGATTAAAACATTATTGATATGACAATTATGATTGCTATACCATTGGGGAGGGAATAGATTGTTTCCAAGGGCACTTATAATTAAGGGCAATCCTGTCTTACGGATACAGAAAGAACTATAAAACATAATGAACATAGGGTTAGAAGTAGATGTACTGAAAAAAAAAGAAGTGTTTAACATTACAGTAGTTGAAGTCATACCCATAATTCTACAAACAGCAAAGATAAAAAATCTCCAAACCCCATGGCTAGTTAAAAAAATTAATTGATTTTTGCTTTTCTTTCTATTAAATAGATAAAATACTCATCCACTGAAAAATTATACTGATAAACAAAACATTGCATGTGTGGGGGGAGAAAAGTAAGGTCAAGTACTGCATATCAACCCCAGACATATTGTCCAAATAAAGAAAGCTTTGCGACGTGAAAAGTAAATTAGACAGTAGTTCTAGCCTCAAAAGTTTACAATACTGAACTTAAAGCCAACAGGATTTGGCTAACTAATATGGTTAAATAATTGAATCCAAAAGGAACAGAGTGCCCTGTAAACACTGGAAGTTAACCAACACCTGCTGATAAAGGTACATACCTTTCCAACAGAGGAGAAAACTATTACTGATGTCTGTAAGGTGAGGTGTAATTCTAAAGGCAACGTTTCAGTTCTTTAATAAGGCTCAAAGAAACTTGGCGGTGTACGTCTGACAGCCTGTACCATTCTGATATTTTTTGAAAGCTCTGAAGTTTAAAAAAAACCTAAATGTATACAAAATGTTCTGTAAGAAGATGTCCTTCTAAATCATTTTATAGGTGCTTAGCACCAGGACTGATCATTTGGTATTATTATACCGAAACACTACTCAGAGGTGTCCATGCGCTGTTGAGCGGAAACATAATTAAGTTACCTTATGTTGCTCTGTTCCTCTGAAAAAAGTCAAGAATATACACTCTTTACGCTGTCTGTACTACATCATCATAAATATATATTATATATACACATAATATATAATATGATATATAATATATATGTGTAACATATTTCATTTACCTCAAACTGGAATCATGTACTTTCATACCACACACTTATCAGGAAGCAGACTTATTCATTAGGTCACAGCTGGTGTAGCTTTTAATAGCAACCCATTTACTTCACAGCAATTCAGCACTGCTCAGCATCAAATGGAACCTATGACAAGAATCCTCAGTCCCTCTTTTTCATCCCAATTAGCATGTGTTGTCTTTAAAACTCATTTCTGCAATTATCTCCAGACAGTATTTCAACTGGGCGTTCAATGTCGAGGTCTAATTTCCGTCAGCCTCTGAAGACAGTTCTGTGTTGCTGGCATCGAGAGAATAAATTGAACTGTCCTTTGTCCTACCCGGTAGCAGCCATATCCCATCAGTCCGAAAACTGTTGCCTTTATGACAAATCTGAGAACCTTACTCGAAGTTGACGGTGGAGGCACACTGAAGTAAAGGTGATAAAGACAAAGTTATCATCCACATAGCTGGAAGAAAAAGATCCTTCCCTATCTTCATTAAACGCTGATCATTTCTGCCACAATGTTTGCCATTACAACACACTTCCTTACTAGTACCAGGAGCCCTTGCATGGAATAGGTATATTAAGACAGAGCAAATGATTCTTTCAAGGTCATAGATTACATCCAACATCTTATTCCAAATCTAAGGGTAATGGCCTAGATCCTGAAGTATTTAGGCTCCTAACTTCCACTGAAATCAGTAGAAGTCTAAATACTTTTGAGGATCTGGACCAATGACCTTTCCAGTCATGTAGGGCACAACTTTTAATTCCCTAAGGAGCTTGACCTCTTTTACCATCAGAAACCCTAACAAACACAAAGAATACTGTCAGGAGTATTGTGGAGAAATTTAAATCTATACAGAATTGTTTTTAATGTGACTATTCATCTAACTACAAAGAACCAAAATCAAAGGTGATGTGTGAGGTGGCATAAGTTAAACATCAGTATGAGGATTTAAAGAGGGTCAGGACTTGCCAGTACTAGAAAAGTTTCATTGGTATAAATAAGTGTATTTACATTTAGTTACATTGGTGCAATCCTGTAATACAGACAAATTGGTTTAAATTGAAACTATATTACCATGATTTAAACTGGGTTAAATCTGTACATATATTAGAGATTTGCACAGGGTCATTAGGTTGATTTTAAATTAATTTAGTTACAAAGATATAAGTTTCCTAATATAAAACAAGATCTTGTATTTTGAGGGGTTGGAAAAAGGTACAACTTAGAAAGAGAGAGCATGGGGGAGGGAGGGGGGGGAATAGAGATACAACTACTTTAGCTTCCATCTTTTTACATCCTCTTATTAGTTGCTTTTCCCTCTTTTTCAGCCTCTCAACTAATTTAAATCACCTTTGAATATAAACCCAAAGGGGGTTGCACTTAGCAGTAAGTTCAATATGGGATGATCCAAAAATCTGTAAATGGAAATACATGTTTGGATTCTGAATCCTAAGAAAGGTTATTTCCAGAGCACTTTGCCCCTCATGAAGCATAATAAAGGTATCTGCAGTACAGCAAGAGAACTTTAAATCTAGGAAGAATACTCGGAGAATACATAGCCATAACCCCACAGACTGTGCATCTCAAATATGCTGAGAAAGCTGGAAGTTCATCCTCCAGCCAAGAAGTCGGGGTTTGAGAATGGTTGTACTCTGAGGGTTATTACTTGCTTTATACTTAGGCTTGGGAGGATTCGATTTTTATCAGTAAATGGCTGTAAACATCAATTTCATCATACACACACAAACTGACAAAACTATTTCCATTATTTGGTTATAATCAAACCTTACAGATAGGCAAAGTAAGAAAAATGCTGCTTAAATTAGAACTCAATTTGAAGATATTTACTTTGTATATTTTGACATGTGATGTTGACAATTTGTGTTTCAACAGTTATAAAGCTTTCACTTTTTGAATCGATACCCATTGTAATTAAATAATTTTTGTCTGACCCATACCACAATTTCCCGCAACTGTGAAAGTGTAAACTGAAAAATTGAAAAAAATGCTTAAAAATTATCAATATCAAAAATTATAAAAAAATTAAAAAAACCAAATTCTGCCACACCTATTTATACTATTAAAAAAAAAGGGAGAATTTAAGCAAACTTAGTGCCTTATGAAAGATGCTGGACTGACAACTCCTCCACCGTCACAGCCTTGAGTAGTGTCAGTTCAGTCAAAATGTCTTACGCCTGACTTAGAGGGATCCCTTGTGTAGGCATGAAGATAGGTAGGTCAGTTTCCACGCCATTCAGCCTTCAACCTCACTAATGAAAATGCAAACAAATGTACCAATAATGCCAGTTACTGTAACTCTGATCTGGATCTCTGTCCACTAGCAACTGGACTGAGACTACTAACCAGCCATCAAAAGATATGGTCTAGTTTTTAGGGCACAAACCTAAGATTTGGAAGGCCTGAGTTCAATTCCCAGACTTCCTATGTGATTTTGGGCAAGCCTTTGTGTGCCTCAGTTCCCCTTCTGTAAAATGGGGATAAAAGGATTTCCCTCCCTCATAGGGGTATTGGGAGGATAAATACATTACAGAAATTGAGGCACTCAGGTACTACAATAACGGGGCATGATAGATTCAAGGGGGGGAGAGGGAATCAAATGGTGAATTCTGGAACCCACTGATCTGGGCTGAATTCCAAAGGTACTATGAGTATGTCTACACTGCAAATCCGGAGGTGTGACTGCAGCACATGTAGACACACCCATGCTAGCTTTGAAAAATTAAAGCTAGCTTGAGCGACAATAGCAGTGAAGCCATGGCAGCATGGACAGCAGCTGTCCAAGATCCTGAGCAGGCGGGGCTAGCCTTTGTAGTCTCCTGTTCTGCCACAGTTTCACTGCTATTCTTAGTAAATGGATTATGAGAAACTGTGATTTTGCACTTCAAGAGGCAGTGCTGCCCAAATACAACCAAAGCCCAGAGGTCAACAATGTCTCACTCTTTGGTTAAAGTATATTTGAAGCTTCTTGTTTCACATACTGCAGGTTTCACCTCTGAATCACGTACCCTACATTCATTTTAAAAGCACTAAACACAGATAAATACATTTTCTTCTATGGCAAGACCATTTTCTGATCAGATGCATCACCCCGGAAATCCAGCTATGTTCATTTTTTTTCCATTTACAGCTTCTCTCATCTTTGTTGTAAGAACAATCTGCAAGTATTATACACCATTTCACTGCTGTAGCATTGTGACCCACAGCGCCCCGCAATGCCAACTGGCAGAGGGCACACCATACCATTACTCACATCAGGCCTGGCACACACATTGCCCCACCTCACTGTTGTCATAACTTGTATCTAAAAGGTGTCATGTAAGGTATCCTACCCAAATATGAATGACATATTAGAATCATAGAATCATCATAGAATATCAGGGTTGGAAGGGACCTCAGGAGGTCATCTAGTCCAACCCCCAGACAGATTTTTACCCCACTTCCCTAAATGGTCCCCTCAAGTATTGAACTCACAACCATGGGTTTAGCAGGCCAATGCTCAAACCACTGAGCTATCCCTCCGCTCCCCCGCATGTACATGCAGAGCATAAAGAATTATAGATGTGTGCTGCAAATATGTTTGTAAAAGGTGTTTGTCAAGCATGCATAAGCCCAGCCTGTCCTAGAAAAAGAAATGTTGTTTTGCCTGCTTGACTGTGTCTCCAATGTAAATTGAGCCTGATAAGCCCAGAAACAAGGGAAGTACATTTACACATACAGTAAACGGAGCTATCAAACTAGCAAGCAGGGGGGATGATCACTTAGCATTCACAAGAGGGATGGAAGCTATACCCCAGGAAGTCTTCCTGGCTCTTGAAACAGAGACGATGGACTTTAGGAATTATAAGTAGAAACAAAAAAACATTTTGGCCACTAAAGGACCCAAGAGGCCAGAGCTCTAGAAATCTGAGAAAGGTGGATCCTTCAACCAAGGGGGTTGACGTCTCTGGGAACGGACTATAGGTGAGAGACCTGCTTAGACAAAGATTGTAACTTGCCGACATTAAGTTTTAGTCACTAGAAAGCATGTTTTGTTAATAACCTTTCATATCTCTTTCACTCTTACCTGAAGAGACAAGGTAGATAGTATCTTTTATTAGACCAACTTCTGTTGGGGAGAGACACAAGCTTTTGACCCGTACAGAGCTTTTCTTCAGGTCTGTCCAATAAAAGATATTGCCTCACCCACCTCGTCTTTAATACCCTGGGACCGACATGGCTTCAACAACACAGCATACTCTTACTTGAAATCACTTAAACCTATGTTCTTTGTTAATAAACTTATTCATGTGTTATTACAAAACTTTCTCAGTGCTGCTGTGAAGTGTGGATCTTCAGCTAACCTAACAAGCTAATGTGGGCGCCATCTCTTTGGAGGCAGTGAACTTAATAACAGCATCCAGTGAGAGGGACTGGACACTCCAGAGAGACATCTCTCGGGAACTGGGGTTCACTGATTGTTACCTACAAGGCAAGGTTTGGACTGACAGAGTCCTGAAGAGTTTGCTGGCAAAGCAGACAAGCTGGTGAAGTGGGGAGCGGACACACAGCTTAGCAGCAGCATAGCTCACTCTTGTGGAGGCAGACTGGTAACAGTGTGGCTCACCGTTCTGGGTGACCTGAGCAAGATGTCATAAGCATTAAAAACAAAGGCTACTGCAGATTGTAAAGTGGAGTAGCTACGAAATCAACATACAAAGAGGAGAGGAAGTTACCTCATGATTTCCTGGATGTTTAAGTCCGTGTTCCAGTTCTTTTCTATTCCAGGCACGTGACCCATCCCAACCACTCCAACTACAACAGACGGGATACATTTTCTGGGTTCAGCTAAGAGAGGAGAGGGGGGAAAAAAATATATCAGTCTCTTCTTCAGTGAGAAAAACATTGCCACACTGTAAGCAATCTCTTATATCAAGGCAACAATTTCAAACAATTACCCCCAGTAAACATGAACCAAATTTTTTCAAAAAGTTAAACATGAAAATTTTTGAATGACAAAATTCTCTTTTGAACTCCCCCCTCCAAAAATAAAAATAAAAATAAAAACCTACTTATTTTGACTACCTCTAGGGCTACTCTAAGTCCTAGAAGCTCCAGTTGGGGCAGAATGCAGCTCATCACTAGTACGGCTTGCCGTGAGCACATAAAATTGGGTGAAGTCTTTGCATTGCCTTCTTATTTGCTTTGAAGGGCAGAATTCAAGGTTTTTAGCAATGATCCATAAAGCCCTGAATGATCTCACACCTTGTCCCATGAGAGACCTCCTCTCCTGTTATACCCAGCTGGGAGTCAAGGTTGACCAATAAGCACTTGGTGTTGGAAGCTCACATACAGTGATAAGTCCCTCTCCATTGACCATCTTTGGAATTTGGGTAACCTAGGTCACCTGAGTCTAGTGGCCATCAGGGTACAATGCAAAACGCATTTGGGCCCTGAGCCTGCAAAGGGAGCTCTGCAAAACTGGACCCCTCTGTCTACACAGTGCGATTGATTTCAGTGGGGATCCTAAGTAGTACAGAGTTTGGCCCACCTGGTTCTCTTTGCATGACTGGGCAATTATCCTATTTTTAAAGCATCTGACGGTTGTCTTTATTTTTGTTTTGGGAGTGGCATTTCCAATTTGTGTTTCAAGCACTTAGTATCCCTCGCTCAAAAATAAATAAAAGGAGCCTCAAATCACCTTCTAATATGCACTCACTATTTAGCCCACCAAAGTTACAGGAGCAAATTTTGAGGTCCTATTTGATTATATGACCCTCAAAACATTGCATAAGGTTTTAGCCCCCCAACTTGAGTAAATGCTGCAGCAACACTTCAGAAACATAACTAGTGCCATTCTGGTTCTCTCTGCCAGGTATGGTGGATCAGCATAATGGGGATAAATCAACATATAAATAATAAATACACAAACAAGATTTTCCTTTTTGTCTGATTCACTAAGGAATTCACACGCTAGTGTTTTCGGACACCATAAATTGCTTGTGACATGCACGCGTGCGCGCACACACACACACAGTTTGTGCGCTAGACTTCTTCAGCTAACAATTCAATAAATGAAAAGCCTTAGATACAATCTCCTTGAAAATCCAGCTGCTTTCTTCTATCCCCGAGGTCTTTGCCTCATCTCTCCCCTGAATTTTCTCTCTCTTTGTTCCCAATAGCTTTTATCTGTCCTCCCTACTGTTTTCCCTTTCCACTCTTTGCTTCATTGTCTCTCCTTCCTCTACTCCATGCTCCCCCCATTTTTATTTCTCTTCTCCCCCTTCACCAGCAGGGCCAGATTAGAGAGTTTTGGGGTCCTATGCATTATGGAATTGGGAGCCCACCCATCTCCCTTAAACTAAACAAGAGCATGAGATATATAGTCTGCAAATAAAAGAAAAATCTACATTTATTTATTATTATATCAGAGGAGACTTTAAAAAAATCAAATATGAAATATATTAATAGAGATAGAATATTTAAATATACACGGCAATTTAATTAAAAAAAAAATCTAATACCCACTCTCTCCTTTTTGTCTAGGAAACGTTACCTAAGTAGGCTAATCACTTGGCTACATTTATGCAACATGATTTAGAAATGAGCTGGACCATGCTCAGCTGGCTCTGCAGCTCTAGGGAAAGTGATCCTGATGAACACAAAACTTGCTGGAGACCGTACAAATCACACAAGAGCAAGTAGTTTGGTACACTGGGTTTCGGAGGCTCTTGAGCCAGAGAAACTCTGCAGCCTTTTGAAAAACAGGCAGAACTAAGAGGAACTTTACCAGCTCCTAAGGGGAAGGGGCATTGAGTCTTAGCTGGCTTTGGACGCAAGTTTGGTCCAAATCAATACAAATAAGGGACTGAGACAATGATTGTGGGATTGGGCTTCAGCAGCTGAGGGAGCAGGAAAGCTGGTTCTTTACCCCTGGGAAGAAGAAACATGGGTGCCATAATGGCCAGCCACCAGGACCCCAAAGCAGACACCTGATAGGTCATGACACCAGTGCCAGCAAGGAGGCCCAACAAGTCACGGATGAGCTGAATCCTGAAAAGGGACTTGAGAAACCAGACCCCACCCAGAAGTTCCCCATCTCTTCCGTGGCCCTGATCATCATGGCCATCCCAGAGACAGCCAAGAAGCAGCCCAGCCGCTAGGGTGCCAAACCTGTCTGCATCTCCCTAGGGTACCAAACCTGAGTGGCACTGTGATGGTGTGTGCCAGGTCACAATGCCACTCACTGACATTTCCCCCCCCCCCTTCCAGTCATGAGTCATGGTGAGGGGAGTCAGAGGACAGCTGGGCCAAACCTGGTCAGAACCCAAATAGGGCTGCCACCTCTAAGAAACCAAAAAAACGGCCACTGCCTTCCCCACCGATTCATCTCCCACGTGCGACCCCTCCTCCCAACAAGCCTCACTCCCCCCCTTCCTCTCCCAGGTACCTCCACCCACAAGTCTGACCCACTTTCCCCTCCCACGCACCACCATGTACACATCCTGACCCCCTGTTCTCTCTCTCCCAGGTGTCCCCCCATCACCACAAGCCTGACCCCCCCTTTCCCTCCCAGGCACCCTCTCCACACAGCCTGACCCCCTCCTCTTCCTCTCCCGGGTACCTCCACCACTGCCACCAGCCTGACCTCTCTTCTTCCCCCCCCAGGAACCCCACCCCCACCAGCCTGACCCTCCCTTGCCCACCCTCAGCCTGACTCCTTGGGCCTATAAGCCACTACACCCACCCCCTGCCTGGAGCCCCAGCCCAGGGAGCCCCCCACTATACCCTCCCAAACTCCAGGAGTCCCTGCTTCCCCCACCACAGTCCCTGCTCCTTACCCCTCCCCAATGGTAAGTCTTAGGCCCATCCTGCTTTCCAGCACCAAGAGAAGCAGGAGCCACCGTATCAACATGTTGAGGGCCCAGTATGCAGAGCAGGATGCTGGGTGGAGCCCCTTTCTACTCGTGTCCCTTGTAGCATCTCCTTTTCAGTGATGGAATCTAATCTACCCTCCCCTTTACCTCCATCATCTCTCATCACCAGGCTCAATCACGCATGAGGCCATTGCTGTGATGTTCTTGCATAGAGCGTTTCTAGCAGCAGAACAAAACTGATGTGATTTTGAGCAGTTTCACTCTGGTCCTCTTGGGTCACATGGGAAGTGCCATGCAGAGAAACTGCACAAACTATCCTCCGCTACTGCTGACGTATTTGGGAGGAGAGTGGTGGTAAGTTTTATCCCCTTTTCTGCTCAGAGAACTCCAGACCCCACAGCAGAAGGAGATCCTTCACATGTTGCTTTGACACCTCCTGCTTCCCTCATGACCCAAATGGGACTGACAGCAAAACGAATGATTTGTCAACAGTTTCCTCTGCTGCTTCTCCAGCTGGTAGCATGGAGGAAACACCACGTGAGGGAGCAGCAGAGACCCAAGTGCAATATTTGTGAAATTTTAAAAGTGGGAGACAGTCTCGGTGGACCTACACTAAAGTTACATCTAATATCTTCTTAAGATATTGGATATAAGATAACCCATAACTTATTATGCTTATGCATCCCAAAGGATTATGGATCACAAAAGTGACAGCCAAGTGCCTTTAGAGACTAAGTATTCAGTATGCCCACCCCTCCTGAAGTATATTATTGCTTTTATAAAAAGACTTGAGTCCCATCCTGTGCTGTAATATTGATGCCTGCATTTTTCAAACTTTAGCAGCCTAATTAGTATTTTCCTGTTTTGACATAGGCATGATGGGAAGGAGGAATCCATTATTCAAAGCACTCTCGTAAAGCTAAGAATTTCATTCTACTGGTAGAAGAGGCTGTCAAACTAATCTAACAATATTCTCCCTTATTTTTTAAGCATTATAATTTATGAAGACATCTCATTTATTACACATGGTACCTGTCTACAAAGCAAGACGGCAAAACTTTTCAGATTTTCCGGGAGGAAGGAAAATCATGGAGTACTACATTAAGAACATATTGCTTGCTAAACACAAGTTATATATCTGCTTTAAAGCAATTACTTTCTGAAGCACGAGGTAGTTCTATTCGCTTAGCTGCTTGCTTCAACATGTAGGTCAAGTAAATATCTCGCTCCGATACAATTGTTCGATGGAGATCAGGAAATTCTCCAATCATTTCAGCCATCATCTGCTCCAGTAAATCCTTCTGTTTACACTTCTCCACGTCATCTTTACTGAAAGAAAGAGAAACAATCCCAATGTCTGTATTATGCTCTCAAAGTCCAATATAGACACGCTGACTTGTAAAATTATACGAGTCCTGTACCTCCTGAGAAAGCAAAACTACCTCCCTATAGACTCATATTATAAGCAGTGTGTCTGAACTCAGTGAAAGGGAAAGAAAGTGGTCAATCATGTAAGAGCTATTCAGTAGAAGTCGTTCATTACACCTTACTCATGGGAAGCTAAACAAATACAGTAACTCCTCACTTAACGTTGTAGTTATGTGCCTGAAAAATGAGACTTTAAGCGAAACAATGTTAAGCGAATCCAATTTCCCCATAAGAATTAATGTAAATGAGGGGGTTAGGTTCCAAGGAAATTTTTTTCACCAGACAAAAGACATATCTATCTATCTATATAGTGTGACAAAGTTCCTCCTCTATCTTGGTGGGTCCTGCGCTTATTGGCGGATTTTCTTGCCTCAGAGATTCACCATGTGGGTTGGGGAACAGCACAGAGACCTTCCCCTCTGGGAGAACCCACAGTCCAGGTCAATTGGGAGGTTTGGGGGGAACCCGGGCCCGCCCTCTACTCCGGGTTCCAGCCCAGGGCCCTGTGGACTGCAGCTGTCTATAGTGCCTCCTGTAACAGCTGCATGACAGCTACAACTCCCTGGGCTACTTCCCCATGGCCTCCTCCAAACACCTTCCTTATTCTCACCACAGGACCTTCCTCCTGGTGTCTGATAACGCTTGTGCTCCTCAGTCCTCCAGCAGCACACCCTCTCACTCTCAGCTCCTTGTGCCTCTTGCTCCCAGCTCCTCACACTCCCACCACAAACTGAAGTGAGCTCCTTTTTAAAACCCAGGTGTCTTGATTAGCCTGCCGTAATTGATTCTAGCAGCTTCTTCTTAATTGGCTCCAGGTGTCCTAATTAGCCTGCCTGCCTTAACTGGTTCTAGCAGGTTCCTGATTACTCTAGTGCAGCCCCTGCTCTGGTCACTCAGGGAACAGAAAACTACTCATCCAGTGACCAGTATATTTGCCCTCTACCAGACTCCTGTACCCCACTGGTCTGGGTCTGTCACAATAGATATCTATATAGACACACACACACACACACACACACACACACACACACACACACAGTATAAGTTTTAAACAAACATTTTAATACTGGTACACAGTGATGATGATTGTGAAGCTTGGTTGAGGTGGAGGAGTCAGAGGGTGGGATATTTCCCAGGAAATGCCTTACTGCTAAATGATGAACTAGCAATTGGCTGAGCTCTCAAGGGTTAACTCTCACACTCTACAAGGCAGCAGGAATGGAGAGAGGGGAGACAGCATCGCAGACAGAGACACAGACCGTCTGTGTGAGAGAGAGAGATGCGCATTTCCCCTTTAAGTACCTGACCCTACTCTTAAGTACACTGCCTTGTTAATTAGATCAGCTTGCTGAGACCGCAGCTGCTGCCAGCTAGCTCCCTCCATCCTGAGCCCTGTCATGTCCCCCCCCCGCTCTATGGAAGATGGGTAAGCGGGGTGCAGGAGCAGGGGGGAGGGGGACACCCTGACAGCCCCCCTCTTCCTTCCCTCCCCCCGCACAGCAAGCAGGAGGCTCGGGGAGCAGCTCCAAGGCAGAGGGCAGGAGCAGCACATGGCAGTGGGGGGAGGGACAGCTGAACTGCCGGCAATTGATAGCCTGCTGGGCGGCTGCAGCACAGGGAACTTAGGGGAGCTGATGGGGGGCTGACGGTCCACCCTGGTTCCAAGCCCCCACCAGCTAGCTCCAACGGGCTGCTCTTCCTGCAAGCAGTGGACAAAGCAGGCGGCTGCCAAACGACGATAGAAGGGAGCATTGCACCACTTTAAACGAGCATGTTCCCTAATTGATCAGCAACGTAACAACAAAGCAACGTTAACCAGGATGACTTTAAGTGAGGAGTTACTGTTTATAAATTGGCATCACACCTGAGACAACATGCCAAAGCTTTGAGGGAAGGAGCTACCATCACGGCCCAGTTAAGGAGCATTATTGACACTGCTCCTCCTGGGGCCTGTCAAGCAGCCCTGAAGCAGCAAGATTGGTCACCACAACACAGAGCATTTGAGAGCGTGCACAGGGAGAGGAACAGAAGGGCACCTCCAAATGGGTCCCCTCAAAGCAATGAATTGGAGGAAACAGGTAGAATTCCATATGTCCCCATTATACATCTGCTGGGAGCACAAGTAAATTGCAAGGGCATCTAGGAATGCACTCCTGAGCCATGCAAATTAATGCTGCTTTTGCGGAGTTATTTGGCCCCAATTCAGGTGGAGCCAAATTTGACCCTACTCGTTTTTTTGGAGGGGGGGAAAATCCACAGACAGAATAATGGGAATGGGAACCACTGCATTATTGTAACACTTCCTGGAAAGCTAACAAAAACCCTTTATAAAGGGGGATATTAATGAACAGAACACTCAGACATTTAAAGGTTACAGACCATATTCTCTCCTGTGCCAAGACCTCCTTGCATAGAGAGCTGGTAATCATATCTCAGTTCTCAAGCTGAAATATGACAGCAGGCTATGGTCCCTAAGGAACCATAAAACAGCTGCGAATTGGCACAGTGCAGCTCCACTTTGTCCCTGTCACAATCCCTCCTTCTACCAAAGGGTGCAGGGGAGGCTGGACGGGAATAAGAAGTTACTGATCATTCTTCCTTTTGGCTGATTTCGGGCCCAATCATCTCCGACAGATTGCTGAGGACTTTCAGCTCCGACTGAAGTGAAACGGAGGATGTTCAGCAACATGCAGGAGCGGGTACTTACAATCTACCTTTCAAATAAAGCTAAAAACACTTATTCATACCTGATTGGGTCAGATAAGAAGCAGAGGCCCCAAGCAAGCTTGACTTTTTGCCAGAAAGAAAGTGCAGCGATGGCTCTCTTAAACGTAACAGGGATGGGTCTGTCCCCAAGATGAAATTTACAGAAAGGTACTTTACCAGCCTGAAAGAGAAGGTACACATTAACTGTTAGTAGATTGTTAGGACACCATTACTAGTTACACTAACCTAAGTGTTCTAAAGAACACTAAGGAAACAAGGGCAAATATTGTCACACTTAAATATCAGGTAAATGGAGGTTACTTACAGGTGAGTGGAAGTTCTTTGAGATGTGTGGTCCCTATCTGTATTCCACACATGGGTACGCATGCGTGCCACGTGCCAGAAATTCTGACAAGCAGTGGCCATTGGCTCACACATGCACAGAAGATCTCCTCATGCTCCCGACCAAGAGCACAAGAGGCAGTGCAGGCTGACGCCTCTCCTGTTCCTCCCCTTACCTCAAATCCAGCAGGATCCAAAGCAGAGGGGACAGTAGACGGGTAGTGGAATACAGATCGGGACCACATAGCTCAAAGAACAGCCAGTTACAGGTCTGTAACCTCCATTGCTTCTCGAGTGCTAGTCCCATGTATTCAGACAAGCAGTGCTCAGATATGAGCAGGGTGTGAGGAAGATGCTTGCAGTACTGCAGTTCCCATTGCTGCATTTGCAGCAGAGGCCTGAACTAGCACACAATGTATAGAGAATGTATGGAAGGAGCTCCAGGTGGCTGGTCTGCATATATCTAGTATTGGAATGTCCTGCATGGATGCTGTAGTGGTGGCTTGTGCCCTGACTCCGTCAGGAGGAGGTATGTGTGCTAACCTGTAGCACTCGATGATGCATCCAGAAACCCACTTAGAGATTCTCGGAGAGGATATTGCTCGACCTCGCAATCTTTCTCCTATGGTGAGAAAAAGTCTTGATGATTTTCTGATAGGCTTGGTCCTTTGCAGGTAGAACACCAGGGCATATCTGATGTCGAGGGAATGAAGTCTTGTCTCCTCTGGCTCCTATACACCAGCTCCAAAGCCTGACTGCCTCTAGGCAAAGGGGAAGCGATCCTGCTCTGCCCTGTTTGTTTATGAAAAGGACCACGGTGATGTCTGACATCATTTGGATATGGAGCGAATGCATAAGCAGGAGAAAGGGTCTGCAAGCCAGGTGGACTGCTATCACTTAATACATTGATGTGCAGTCTGACCTCCTGTGGAGTCCAGGTACCTTGTGCAGTGAAGTTGTTCAGGTGAACATCCCACTCAGAAGGGAAGTGCCTGTTATGTTGGTGGCTCTGGGGGTAGGAGTATTGGAGGGAATGCCCACTCTCACTCTCTCTGGGTTCGACCACCCAGGTGAGGGAGGCGATGACTCTGGCTGGAACGGTCACTCTGGAGTTAATGTGACCTTTGTCTGGTGAGTAGGCCGACCAGAGCCAGGCCTGTAGACACTGTAGATGAAGGATGGCAAATGGTATCACCAAAGCGAAGCCATATGGCCTAAAAGTGAAAGGCACATTCTGACCACATTTCTTGGTCTGTAAGTAATCCATGCTATCAGGCTGCTCATTAACTGAAGTCTTTCTGTTGGAAGGAAAGCTCTCACAGAAACAGAGTCCAGCGTGGCTCCGATGAAGGGCTGCTAGAAGATGGAGCAGATACACCATCACCAACTTGACCTCTTGGCAGGAGCGACCTGCCAAGAGCCAATCACTCAGATATGGGAAAATTGTAACTGACGTCTCATTTAGGCTGCCACCATAGAAAAAACCTTTGTAAACACTCTGGGTGCTGTTGCTATCCCAAAAGGGAGAACTCTGATCTGGAAATGTTCTTGGACCACCATAAAAACACCGGAACCTTCTGTGGGAGGGATGAATCTTCACCTGAAAGTCCGCGTCCTTCATGTCAAGAGGTGAGAACCACATCCCCTCTTGCAGGGAGGGGAATTACTGACACTAATGTAACCATCCTGAATTTTGACTTTTGAATAAAGGTATTCAGTTGCTGAAAGTCCAGGTGCGTATCCACCTCCCATCTTTTTTGGGGCTAGGAAATACAGGGAATAGAACCCTCTCCCTTGACACTGAGATGAGACACACTCGATTGGCTCTCATTACAGGAGGGAGTCTACCTCTTGATGAAGAGCAACCTTGAGAGAGAGAGAGAGAGAGAGAGGGGTCCCTGAAAGAGGGCTGGGAAAGGGGTTTGTGACGGGGGAAGGAAAGGAACTCAATGGAGTATCCTTGATGGATAATCCTTGACGGGTAACAACTGTCTGTCGTGATCAAGTCGAAATTGTGGGTGAACTGTGAGAGACAGCCCCAAATAATAATGGGGGAAAGGGTGGGTGGCATCAGGGTAGTAGGCAGCTCGGAATAGATAGAGGTCGTGGTGGTATAGGGGCTAAGAAGTAAGACCTCTGATCCCTCTGATGTTTCCGTGGAGGTTTGGCTGGACACTAGTGGTAGAATGCCTTGGCCTATAGGCTTCTCTCTGGTGTTTCCTCCTCAGGGCCACAGTGTAAATCCCCAGGGAGCGTAGAGTCGATCTCAAGTCCTTTAGCGAGTCCTTTAGGGACTCATGCTTTTTCACGCTGAAGAGATTCAGCTCATCAAAGCGAAGGTCCTGTATGGTATTCTGCATCTCCCTGGGGAAACTCTGAGACTGTAACCAAGAATCCCTCTTCACGACTATACCAGCAGCCAGGCCTCTCGATTCTGCATCTGCTGAATCTACTGCAGCCTGGAGAGGTGTTCTTGCCGCTAACTTGCCCTCCTCTGTGGAGGTCTGAAATTGGGCTCTGTCCTTAGAGGGAAGCTTGTCCTTAAATTCCACCAGCCTGGAACTGTTGTTAAAATCATATTGTTGCAAGGCCTGATAGTTAACAATACGGAATTGCAGGCCCATAGAGGAAAAGACTTTTTTCCAACCTCTGAGTCCTTGTCAGTGGTCCTTTGATGTTGCGACCTAGCCCTCTCCGTAGCTGCCTGTAACGGAGTTGGGGGCAAGGTGGGAGAAAAAGAATTCAGCTCCCAGGGTGGGGATAAAATAGCACCTCATGTGGGGGTTGGAGTGTGCCAGATCAGCTTCATGATGGCCTCGTTAAGTGGAAGGGCCACCTTCCTTGGGCCTGCAGGTTGCAAAATATCCAAGATCCAGTGTTGTGGGTCCTGGACCTGCTCCAGTGGTATCTGGAGGTCATTGGCAATCATCTGCAATAGCTCCTGGTACCGCCTATGCTCATCTGGCAGAGACAGAGAGGAATAAGAAGGAACTGGAGAAGCGTCAGCACATACTGCCTCTTATGCTCAGTCGAGAGCATAAGGAGATTTACTGCACACATACACACTGCTAGTTAAAATTTCCAGACTCAGGCGCCTGGCGCACATGTGCACCATTGGAAGACAAACAGGGACTAGCACTCAAAGAAGAATTTTATATTTTGTAGGTAAATAACATTTTCATTTTCAACGTAATATCCCATAACGGAATACTTCTTCCATGAAATGCAACAGTTATTACAATAAAAACCCAGGGCTCTATTCATACCAAACAGCACACTAACCCTCTCTATCTTTTGCACCTTACCAAAAGAGTCACCAGCTTTTGGGCTAGGCAGAAGAAAGCTTTTTGCATATAACTGCAGTTGACAGGATTGGGATCGAGACTTGGATTTAGATCTGGATAAGGTCAAAAGCAAAAATGATTTTAATGATTTTTAATTTTGCTTTTACAGGATCTGTAATATCCTGGATCCATCACAAAACATGGATTGAGAGGCAGAAAGTCTAAGGCTGGTGGAAGTGGGATACTAGACACTACATGGCTTGCCCAGGTGAAAAAAGATTTTGCTATGACAGATCTTTGAGTCAGAGGTACGTGAAGCCACAGACCTTCTAGAGCCCTGTCTAGAACACATGAATTCCATGTTAGGTGGAACCCTAGGCAAACCTCTTTTTCCGCCTCTCAAAAAGGTCCTTCCAAACATGATTTCAAAATACTTTGTTTTCTGTCAGTGAGGATTCAGATCTCAAATCTCTTCTAAAATGATTGTGAGTTGGTATGGGTACTACTTTCTAAACTAGTATGAACATATTTCTGCCTGGCTCCTGCTGAGCAAGAAATAACGTCTTAAGCCAGATACCACAAAAGAGCCAGTCCACGGCTGGCAGCGTGACAAATGGCAAGCAAGGGAGAGGAACACTAAACCAAATAAAGCACAGATCCAAAGGTTCACTTCACAAATATTTAATGGAACCAGACTCTATATATTGTACAGGAACTCATTTGGGACAAAAGTGTCTTTCATATGATCAATAAGATAGATCACATCAAGGGCCTAATCCTGCAGCGTGTCAGGATTGGGACCACCGTCACTTGGGCAGATCACTGAACTCATCCTATGGCCTTTTTGGATTAATACACTGGAGTTCATTAACATTGCAGAGATAATTCCTAGTGCAAAATCCTGATGCTCTTGACTTCAAAGGGACAAGGATTTCACCCCCTAGTGTTTTATCATCAAGTGACCTTTTGAGCCTTTAAATTTACTAGATGAATTCAAGTAGCTATGACTAAATGGAGGCAACAAAGATAAGCATTAAAAAGGGCTAAGATTTTACTTTAAAGTGACATCACCATATGCTCAGAGATTTTGGGATAGATTTACAAAGTCAGGCTCTGTTTTCCACCTATACATTGCAAGCACAATTAAAGTATTTTGGAAATCAGGTACCTGATTGTACCTGCAGCTCAGGTACTCAGTCATCCAGATTACCTTAATTATATCTGCAAACAACCATGGGCACAATTTTATGCCTATAATCACTACTTACTAGTTCCCACAAAACTACAAGTGCAAGAAGAGTTAAGGCTAGGCTGAAAAACGTGTCCCACTAACAACTATCCACCAAAGGACTGCAATAATCCTAGTATTCATGAATTACATTCCATGCAGCATTGTATAAAACATATTTGGTCAGTTGTGTTTCATTTAAACACACACTGGATTATAGAAAAAAGAAAAACTGGAAAACATTTTTCAAATTATGACCTTAAATTTCCTTGAAATTATTGTGAATGCAGATACTAACATCAGCATCCCTGCTGACACCCTCTTCCCTCTTAAAGTATTTCAAAAATCATTTTTATATTACAGCCTGTACAAAACTAGATTTACAATAGTACTGGGAGTATAATCCATTAGGAGTTCCAAAGATAACAGGCATAATCCCCCGCTGCCTTGCACTTTGTGTAGTCATCGACACCTGTACAAAGCGGTTGTAAAATGCTACCATGCTGATTTGATACCATAGTATTTTCACTTTGCATAGGAGTAAACGACTACACAAGGGGCAGGCAGTGAGGAATCAAACCAAATGTGTTTACAAAATACAGAAACAAGTCTATGGCAGGATTCTACTTTTCTCCTTCAATTGATAATGGACTTGCAGAAAAAAAGGAGGTCTCAAGTTAGCAGCATTATTAAATTTATGTCTAAAACAGATAGATTTCTGGTGGGCTGACAAGGGTTCTGACACTGCAGAGTATCTGGTAGAACAATATGGGTATTGTTAGCATATTACTACACAACCTTCTTGCTACTTTCCCCCTCCATTCCAAAAAAGGACTGGACACACACAGTTCCCATCAGATTAGTCTTCAGCTTTGTGCCTCGTAGCACAACCCAGACGTAGCATGATCAGTGTAACTGTATTACTTACTAATTGAACTAAAGCTCTGCAGTAAATGGTACTATTCAATCAATTTGACTGCATCAAAACAATTCAACATTTAAAGATCCATGTATTAAAACTGAAATGTCAAGAGACACTGAGTGGAGTAGGTCTGTGCTTAGTTTCCTAATACATCCAATTCACTCCTTTCAAAGTCTGACCTTCTACCTAGGACTCAGACTATATTTTCCCATGAATTATAGCATATAGCTAAAAAGCAGTTTTCCTGGCATTGTTAAGCTGCAGGAGCACCATGAAATCTTTGTAGCATGTTCATGTTACTATCACACAAGTTTCTGTCCTGGCACTGACTGCTTAAAGTGAACTGCAAACCAAACAAAGATTGTGCATGTGCCCTTTCCCTTATTACTACTATTTAGATAGCTGCAAAGATTTTTTTTTCAGTTTGTCTTTTTATATTGGAGATGAGACATCTTGAATCCCCCCCAGTTTTGGCTGGAGGATCCTCTGAACTGGGGATTCCCAAACTTTCCCCTGTCACAACCCTATTTGACTCTCCTAATGTTTGTGGCCCCCTGTAAGCTCTATTTATAACAAGTTTCAAAACACGCCAGGCTCATGAAGAGACATCTTGTCTCAGCCAGCATAGGGGAGATTTACCCCTCTACAGGACTGGCTACATTCTTATCTTGTAGGTGGTGTTCATAGGATGGCTGGTTCTTCCTGCTACTGACAACAAAGGGAAATAAATGGTGGCAGTGGGAGTGGAGCAGCAGATTTTCACAAACACAAGTGTAGCAAAATCCATCCCTTATTCTTAGAGTGACAGCTCAATACCGAGGCTGTCCTCATCTGTGTTCATGCTGCCATGTTCCCCACGTGGTTCTACTGCCAGTTTAAGAAGCAGTTTTTCCTTTCACACCCATTATATGTGTGTTCAACGATTGGATCACCAGAGACATAGTGCTGTCCAGCCTGCTTACACACCTTCTTCCTCTCAAATGAGGGATAGGAAAGACACGGATTAAAAAAAAAAAAAAAAAAATTAGTATTCTCCCAACAGTTACCACACAGTGCTATCTGAGATAACATTTTACATAACATGTTAGCCTAAACATAGAGAAAACTGTGGGAACTGTTGATTTTAATAGCCACAACTTCATATATTTAATTCATTAATTAGGTTTTTGCTCATTGCAAGAAGTGGTACATTTTATTAATTCAAAGTCTCTGGCCCCCGTCCCCACCTCCCCCATAGAGGGTTCCAACGCAGTTGGGGAAATGATGATCCAGAGAACTAGAAGGACAACACAGTCATCAGGACATATTGAAACCTGAGCTGCAGCTCTCTCGCCAGGAGAGGTCTAGTCAGACAGGGGTGTTTGTTTGCGATACCCATGCAAATCCTTTTGATTCCAGACAAAGGCCCCAATTTGCATGGGAACAGGGTTCCACCCATGAGGAGTTCATTGAAGGACCAGGGCCAAAACTGGGAGAAAAGCTCTATGTGAAATGTTTAGCATCCCCTCTCTCTCAGCTGGAGACCTACTGTGATTTCACTATCCCCCAGCAAATACAGAGAAGTAAGAACTGAATTCTACTATTTCTAGGGAGAAGACAAAAGCCGAAAATATTTTTCAAGTCTTTATGGAACCATCCATATATACACCAGAAAGGGGCAGTAAGGGGGCAAAAGCCACCATTTTCCCTTCCTCTTTGCAGTTCTCCTTTAAGTAAAAGATCTTTAGTTCTCCAGCCTCACCTTGTATAAGACAGGGATCAGAAAAGAGCGCTCTGGCCAAACAAGTGACTTTATTTAGTTTGACTGAGGTACAAGAGACCAATATTTTTACCTTAGAAACAACCAACTTCCAGCCCCTACCTCTTTGAAAGCCTCCCTGAATTCCCCTCCTGGGGCCATTCCCAGCTGTTCTGTGATGTGAGCAGAGACCTTCAGCAGAAGCATTTGCATTAGTCCTGACATGACTCCATTCTAGCAGAAAAGGGAAAAAAACATTAAACAGGAACCATCAAACCGTATGGATTACTAGGAAGTACACACAGACATTGTGCCATTAGCAATCACTGAGAACCATCAATTATTCTGATGAAGAAACATTGAAGCCACCCTCTGGAGCTGATTTACTGCTGAACACTGCTCCCATTATTTCAGCTTTCATCATTTATATGTGGGATCATTGTTAAAAATGCTCTTTGCTTACACACCAGATTGTTTGCTCAAAGAAAAATGTGTTTAAGAAATAATTAAATAAGCCAGTCTTGTTTCAGCCCCCCTGCCCAAGGTGAGAAGAAAGCATCTGTCCATGTGAATAGCAAGAGTAGCTCATACCACACATTTGTAATTGAATAAATTAGAACAAACACTGCATTCTCCTCCAAATATAAGTAGCACAGAACATGACCATATTTGCTCTGCATTTGCCCTGCTAGAGGGATATTGGAGTGGGGTAGACCTAGCAGTCTAAGCATGAAACAGCTAGATTCTTCAAAAACAGTGCTGAACACCGGCTGAGTCAAATCAGAACTTCCTCTTTCTAATCCAGAAAAACTGAGCATCAGGCAGTTTCCTGTTCATGGACTTGCAGATGAGATCTTAAAGAAAAACCCTGAGCTTGAGTCACGCTGTGGGCATAAGAAGGGATCCAACTTAGGGGGCTGGCAACTGTAGCTCTGCCAGTTTCCATGAAGGGAAGACAGCTTTAAACTCGACCTGGGGCTGCAGAATAAGGGAGGAAGGGTAGTGAAAATGAGTGTTTGTTCACAGAACACAAAGGACAAATGCTTCCACAAATTCAGGAGAGATCCCCAGCAAGAGAAGATTTTTTTTTTTTTTTTTAAACTGATGTACTTGTGGATAGACAATACAATAAATACAAGCCCTCATCCTTAGGCTATATTTCAGTAATCGCTCAGTAGCATTTTACTTACATAATTATTTATTTTCAATCTCTTTGTCTGGACTTGTGCTGCTGGTTGCTGCTATCTGCTTCAGCCTATCACCTATTATTTTCTTGAGTCTAAGCAAATAGGACAGGCACTGGGTTTTGGGCAGATTAAGAACATGATTGACTGAAATACACTGCAGTCATGTCCTTCTGCTACAAAGCAGGATGCAGTGTTTCCATCACTGTGCAAAAAGAAAACCCAGAGCACAAGCGTAAATTAATTACATCTGTCCTAAAGGAGCAAACGGCAGCAAGTGATCTCAGCAGGAATCCAGCCTCAGCCGCTTTAGGTAAAAAAAAACAAAAACAAAAACAAAAAAAACCTATTTTGCTGGGGATCTCTCCTGAATTCATGGAAGCATTTGTCCCATGTGCTCTGTGAACAAGCACTCATTTTCACCACCCGTCCTCTTCCCTCCCACTCTCCCTGCTGGCCTGATGACTTCTCACTCCTGGTGCATTTCACTTGGTAGTTCCTCGTGACCTGGCCTGGCCTCACAACACCACCCCCTGGACACCTCCCTCTGGCCAATTTCTAGCTTGAGGAAGTAAATAGGCACCTGGCATCAGGGAGGGTGGGTCATTTCAGGCAAAAGGTGGGGAGAGAGGGGAAATCAGGATGAGAGGTAGGGTAGCTCTTGGTTATAGGGTTTGGCAGTTTGGAATTTGCTCCTTTCCAAGAGTCCCGAACTGCCTACTTTTCAGAAACCCTCCGTTCTCCCCAGCACAGCACTCCCGATCAGTTATTGCTAAAGGATCCTGGGATGATGACTGGGTGGCTTTGACCCTTCGACTGAAATCAAGGCAAAGTTCTGCTGTTTAGGTTGAGCTTTGCTTTGTGTTTTGGGTCTCCACTGCAAATCAAAACTCGGGATGTGAACCAAGAAGAACTGAAACTGGAAAAGAGGCCTTAAAAAATCCCTGCTAACTAAACCAGGGCGTTTCACACTGCTTTAACACCACATCATGCTGTCACAAACAGGGAGCAGGTTGTTGAGAACAGCCAGTCATGCTGTAGAGTAGGTGGGAAACTGTCAAAAGCACAGATGGCAGTTAGGGGGCGAGCTCTTGTTGAGAGTCAGTGGGAGTTGGGTGCCTTTGAAAATATCCACTCAAGGCAGGCTTGATTACTATTGGGAATGGGTAAAATGCACAGTGTTTCTACATACAAAGGACCCTCATCCATAGGTAGCTTTATTTATTGACCTTAGTTTTTGAAATGGTCATTCAAAGAACAGCACAAGAATTATAATAATTTAAATGGAACAAGGTCCAATATTGAGTTACTCGCACTGCCACCAAGCGGCACAAAAGGAGAGTCACCCCAAGTCCTGGCAGGAACTGCTGACTACACGACACTACAGAGCTGCCATCATGAGCTTTCATAAGTCTCCTATTCAGGAAAAAATGTCAAAAGACTAACAATGATCTGAAATCAGTTTTCTATAAGATTTTCATTGGTCTTTTCCTCTAATAAAGTTGCAAGGCAAAAACGGTTGCATTCATATTTAGATAAAAGAAGAAAAGAGTGATGTTTTGTTCCTGTTTTAATTGTTTAAAAACGTTGATGATGATCCCTTGATTGCACAGAGGCTGTGTCATTTTGGTCATTGCTTTAAAGAAAACCTTACCAAAAAATGTAACCTTTAAATATGTTGCAATATCCTGGTCTTTGAGACTATATAAATACAAAACAGGAAGGACTAGTTATTGCTCTAGCTACATGAGTCAGAAAGAACTTACTGAGAGACCATACACACACACAGAAAATTACTAACTTCTTATTCACCACATGTGATTTCAGATTGGCAACAAGTGTTCTTGATTTGGGACCAAACCTGTAAATACCAACTCACAAGCAGTCCCACTGATGTCAATATGACTACTTACTTATGCCAAAGGTTCAGGATAAAATCAAAATATCTGCAGTCGGTTATGAACCTGTCCTTTTAACTTGATTATTTAAGACAGTGTTTCCCAAACTTGGGACGCCGCTTGCGTAGGGAAAGCCCCTGGCGGGCCGAGCCGGTTTGTTTACCTGCCCCGTCCGTAGGTTCGGCCGATTGCGGCTCCCACTGGCCGCGGTTCGCTGCTCCAGGCCAATGGGAGCTGCTAGAAGCGGCGGCCTGTACGTCCCACGCCGCTTCCAGCAGTCCCCATTGGCCTGGAGCAGCGAACCGCGGCCAGTGGGAGCCGCGATCGGCCGAACCTGCGGACGGGGCAGGTAAACAAACCGGCTCGGCCCGCCAGGAGCTTTCCCTACGCAAGCGGCGTCCCAAGTTTGGGAAACACTGATTTAAGACACCATTGATTGGTGACCCAATGCTTGTATAGTCTGTTCAAGTTATGATAAATATACCATTTAATCAACTTTTATTTGTTGCCCAGTGAGTAATTTTAACTTCATTAAACACAAATACAAGTACATTGTTTGATACAGATAATAAAGGACTGAATTTATATTTACATACACACCCACACATTAACAACCAGCCAGTTTGGATATGACCTGAATGCTAATCCACTGACAATTGATCCACAATATAACACAAATAGCAAATATTAACATGATGTAGAATGGAATTAATAACGAAGGGGAAAAGCAACCAAATATACCACTCAGAAACTATATAAAAATTAAATACCAAGAACACACACAAACAAGATGTATGACTAAAATTCCATAAAATAGTGTCAAAAGAACATTAAGGTTGCAAAGTTATTCTCCAATCCTGCAACAGGCTCCATATGGTGAAACCCAGGCAGAGCCCTGCTGACATCAAAGAGGATCCCTGTACAAATCCAATTGTAGAATCAAGGCCGTAAGCACTGAAAAGCCAGGAATTGCCGAAACCAAGGCTTAACAAACAACCTTAACTCTGAGGGTTTGTCTACACAGTGAAGTTATTACAAAATAAGCTAGGTCGTGAACTGAAAGTGCAATAGCTATTCTGCACTAGCTCCCCATGTAGACACTCTTATTTAGCACTAAGGCTATGTCTACACAGCCCCACACTTCGGATTAGGGGAGTGTGAACCATAGCCCTAACAGTGCTTTTGTGCAGTTTAGTTTAATCCACTTCAAGAGTGCCCATATGGGGAACTAGTACAGAGTACCTATTCACAACAGCTATTCCAGGCTATTTCCCCATGTAGACAAGCCCTGACTATTGTAGCTATGCTCACACTAGGGCTGAAGTGCTAGTAGGCTTGGTAGAAGTTGGTAGCAGCCATGTTTCTGTTTGCTGAATTACCTTTTAGCACAGATAGATTTAATTTTCACTGAGGTAATCATACCTGTTTTATAGCTTGCTGAAGTTTCTCCAGATTGATTTCTTTGGCTTCCTTTAGTAATGTCTGTTCATCCATCTTTAACATAGAAACTCTGTATTGGCAAAGCTCAACCACAACCACATCAGGCTGTACCTCCTGTATTGTCTGAAAAAGATGGATTTATTTACATAAATGTGGACAAGATGGAGAGGTACTGCAGCAAATATTGATTTTTTTTACAACAGCTATTTGTAAGGTATGGGGCTTAATAGGAATCCATTCCACAAATAATTTTCAATTAACACGACAATGAAAAATAAACTGCTTCAGGCCATTGATATTGCTCTGAGTTATCACATGCTTTTAGCACCTACTTATTTGAAGAAAAATAAGGAAGCCAATGAAAGGTATTACCTGCCAGCCATCTGGGGACAGGAACATGGAGTAACAATTGTGCTGGAAAAATCTGATTTTAACATTTTCCCTACGTGTTAGCAAAGTTCATTGTAAATGGTACTTTATGACCTTCTGCATCACAAACCTAGCAGGGACAGGCCTTTCCATCAGCAAGGCCTAAATCAAGAGCCCAAAGTGCTGGAGGGACTGATCCTAGCACAGGTTTCCTCCTGCTCAGCTTCCAGTGCCAAGCAGGGTGGTGAGGCCATCTATATTGCAGAGTCTGCATGGGACATGGAGCTCTGCCAGCTTTTCAGACCTGTCCTGATTCAGTTATTTCTGCACCAAAGTTTGAGAAACAATCCCAGTTTTTACAGGTCTGTTCCGCTTCCCATAGTCCTAGCACCTGTACTATACCTGCATCTGCCCTAAAAATATACCATTAGGTGCTTTTATGTCAATTACTGATAACATTTGGGACTTGCTAGCAGTTCACTTTAATCAAATTATTGTTTAAATACTATGGCTTACAACTTTGCTGAATGGCTCCACCTGCGTGTTTACCTTCACTACATCTCTTTTGCTGCTGTCACTGAAGTGGGCAGTACCAACCACGAACACCTTAGATCCTTCCTCAGTGACGAGTTCGGTCACAGTGCTTGGTAGATTGGGCTTTTTCTGTCTCTTCTTCATCTTCATCTCCAGGAGAATTTTAAATGCATCTGCATCAGCTAAAAATTTTAATAAAATATGCATGTCTATAAGCTGCATGTAAATAAAACAATTAAAAAAAATAAAATACATAGGTGACTCAATAGCTCAGCAGAATTAATATACCATTGTTTTAACACTATAGTCCTTGTTTTAATCCTGGGACCGTATCGTTACTGAGATCTAGGTCTTGAGGGGGCACCTCTATGCATGAATCTCGGTCTCTCCCTGTTGAAGAGGGGCTCCGGTGCCTCTGCGGTACCAACCTCACCCCCCTGGGCATTGAAACTGGTTCTCCATGCAGTTCAAGAAGTAGGGAGGGAGGGAGATGTGACAGGTAGAAATAGGATGGTGGGTGGAAAGGCACATCATGCCCTGCAGAGATTACAGCCTCAGGTAGTATTCACTTTTTGCAGATTCTCTCAGGTTCTCTGGGAAAAAATGGTTACTCACCTTCTCGTAACTGTTGTTCTTCAAAATGTGTTGTTCATATCCATTCCAATTAGGTGTGCACGCACTGCGTGCATAGTCGTTGGAAAGTTTTTACCTTAGCAGCTCCCGTTGGGTTAGCTGTGGAGCCCGCTGGAGTGGCGCCTTCATGGCGCTCAATATATACCCCTGCTGACTTGGCCCCTCCTCAGTTCCTTCTTGCCAGCTATTTACGACAGAGGGGAAAGGAGGGCGAGTATTGGAATGGACATGAACAACATCTCGAAGAACAACAGTTACAAGAAGGTGAGAAACTGTTTTTACTTCAAGTGATTGCTCATATCGATTCCAATTAGATGAGTCCCAAGCCCCACCTAGGTGGTGGGAAACGCTGACTGGAGCACCGCTCTGCCGAATGCAGCATCATCTCTGGCGTGTTGGATGATGGTGTAATGAGAGATGAACATAAGCACAGAGGACCATGTTGCTGCCCTGCAGATCTCTTGTATCGGAACCTGAGCCAGGAACACCACCGAAGACGCCTGCGCCTTTGTGGAGTGTGCCATAAGGAACCTTGGCTGGCTCGTAGCACATCCGGATACAGGACGTGATCCACAATGAGATCCTCTGAGATGAAACCGGGAGGCCTTTCATCTGGTCTGCAACCACCATGAACAGCTGATTTGACTTCCGGAACGGTTTCCTGCGCTCGATGTAAAAAACTAGCGTCCGCTGAACGTCCAGTGAGTTGAGCCTCTGTTCTCAGACATTAGCGTGAGGCTTTAGGGAAGAAGACAGGCAGAAAAATGTCCTGGCTGGTGTAAAAATATGAAACCACCTTTGGAAGGAAGGCCTGGTGAGGTCTGAGTTTTACCTTGTCCTTCTGGAAAACCATCGGGGGGGGTCGGAAGTGAGGGCCTTTAACTCCGACACCCTCCCGGCTGAGGTAATGGCGACCAGAAAGGCAACCTTCCATGAGAGGTAGAGAAGGGAGCAAGTTGCCAATGGTTCGAACGGGGGCCACATTGGCCTGGAGAGGACCATGTTAAGGTCACACGCAGGGAGTGGTTGTCTAACCTGTGGGTATAGTCACCCTAAGCCCTTGAGGAAATGGGCAAAGACTGAACATCCGGCCACTCCCGGGTGGAAGGCTGAACTAGCGGCAAGGTGCATCTTGATGCACAACGCTGCAAGACCATGCTGTTTCAGGTGCAGCAGGTAGTCCAGGATGATTGGTATGGGTGCCTGGAGTGGAGATGTGTGATGCTGAGCACACCAGAACGTGAACCTCTTCCACTTTGCTAGGTATGTGGCCCTAGAGGAGGGTTTTCTGCTGCCAAGCAGGACCTCTCTTACCAGTTCCGAGCACAGGAGCTCCATGGGGTTTAGCCATGAAGCTTGCAGGCTGTGAGGTGGAGGGACTGGAGGTCGGGGTGAGGGAGGCAACCATGGTCCTGTGTGACCAGGTCCAGAAGCAGTGGCAGTCTGATTGGGGTATTCACCGACAGCTCCAGGAGCATGGTGTACCAGTGTTGGCAAGGCCACGCCAGTGCCACCAGAATCATCCTTGCCCTGTTTCTGCAGACCTTGAGTAGGACTTTGTGCATGAGAGGGATCAGTGGAACAACGTACAACAGACTTCCCATTCAGGGGATCAGGAATGTGTCCGCAAGCGAGCCTGGGCTGCATTTCTGGAAGGAACAGAATTGTGGGCACTTTCTGTTGCTCTGGGTGGCAAACAGATCGACCTGGGGAAACCCACACCTCTGGAAGATGGAGTGTATGATATCTGGGTGGATGGACCACTCGTGGTTGCGAAAGGACCTGCTGAGGTGGTCTGCAATTCGTTCTGTGATCCTGGGAGATAGCCCACTCCATTCACCTGGAGGCATCCTATGCAGAATTCCCAGAGCTGGAGGGCTTCCCGACACAGTGGAGAGGAATGGGCTCCACCCTGCTTGTTGTTGTGAAACATGGCCGTGGTGTTGTCTGTCATCATGGCCACGCACTGCCCTTGTAGCCGGGCCTGAAAGGTTTGGCAGGCTAAATGCACAGCCCTCAACTCCTTGACATTGATATGGAGTGAGAGCTCGTGCTGCGACCATAGGTCTTGCGTTTGGAGGTCTCCCAAATGCACGCCCCATCCCAGAGCTGACGCGTCCGTTACCAGGGACAAGGAGGGGTGGGGGCTGTTGAAGGGGACTCCATTACTCACATCAGGCCTGGCACACACATTGCCCCACCTCACTGTTGTCATAACTTGTATCTAAAAGGTGTCATGTAAGGTATCCTACCCAAATATGAATGACATATTAGAATCATCATAGAATATCAGGGTTGGAAGGGACCTCAGGAGGTCATCTAGTCCAACCCCCAGACAGATTTTTACCCCACTTCCCTAAATGGTCCCCTCAAGTATTGAACTCACAACCATGGGTTTAGCAGGCCAATGCTCAAACCACTGAGCTATCCCTCCGCTCCCCCGCATGTACATGCGGAGCATAAAGAATTATAGATGTGTGCTGCAAATATGTTTGTAAAAGGTGTTTGTCAAGCATGCATAAGCCCAGCCTGTCCTAGAAAAAGAAATGTTGTTTTGCCTGCTTGACTGTGTCTCCAATGTAAATTGAGCCTGATAAGCCCAGAAACAAGGGAAGTACATTTACACATACAGTAAACGGAGCTATCAAACTAGCAAGCAGGGGGGATGATCACTTAGCATTCACAAGAGGGATGGAACATAGGTTTAAGTGATTTCAAGTAAGAGTATGCTGTGTTGTTGAAGCCATGTCGGTCCCAGGGTATTAAAGACGAGGTGGGTGAGGCAATATCTTTTATTGGACAGACCTGAAGAAAAGCTCTGTACGGGTCAAAAGCTTGTGTCTCTCACCAACAGAAGTTGGTCTAATAAAAGATACTATCTACCTTGTCTCTTCAGGTAAGAGTGAAAGAGATATGAAAGGTTACTAACAAAACATGCTTTCTAGTGACTAAAACTTAATGTCGGCAAGTTACAATCTTTGTCTAAGCAGGTCTCTCACCTATAGTCCGTTCCCAGAGACGTCAACCCCCTTGGTTGAAGGATCCACCTTTCTCAGATTTCTAGAGCTCTGGCCTCTTGGGTCCTTTAGTGGCCAAAATGTTTTTTTGTTTCTACTTATAATTCCTAAAGTCCATCGTCTCTGTTTCAAGAGCCAGGAAGACTTCCTGGGGTATAGCTCGCACACTGTCCGAGGGTCGAGTCACCATCAGAGAAACTCGAGTACTTGCTCCGGGACAGTGAGCACTGAGTCCAGCTGGGGAGTGATGCCGAGCCGGGGAGGGCGACCATCATGGCTGGCTTGTCTCTAGATGGAGCTGGTCATTGTGGCACCGGAGGCTTTTCTCTGACTGACGCGGGCTGAGGTGCCGTCATGGCAATCAGATCGCTGGCAGCTTCAAAAGTGTCCGGGGTGGAGAGCAGCTCCAACTTCTCCACCTGGCACTGTCTTTCAGGAGTGTTGCTGGGCGCTGGACTCAACGGTCCCCATGACAGGACTGAAGTCAACAGTGCCAACTCCTGTGCTCTTGGCACCGAGTGCTCCTGGATAGGATGCACTGCTGCCACGTCTGCCGGCACCGCTGTCTTCGGCACAGGGGAATGACCCTTATCAGTCTTCCTGTGTCTCTTGTGCGGCACAGGGGAATGGTAGTGGTGCCGGGTTGTCGACGCAGCCTGCGGTGCCAGAGAGCGCTGATGCCGAGGGTCTCTTAGACCAGAGTCCTTCCTTGGCACTGTGTTGCATACGGAGGCCGGGGCGCTCCGCATGGACACGCTCGGTGCCTGGTCCTGACGATCCGCGGCAGGCTGGGGGTGAAGAGTGGACTCCATCAAGAGATGTTTTAGACGAAAATCGCACTCTTTCTTAGTCCTGGGGCGGAATGCCTTGCAGATCCTGCACTTCTCAGTCTGATGAGTCTCCCCCAGACATCTTAGGCATGAGTCACGGGGGTCGCCTGTTGGCATAGGCTTACCGCAGGTTCCGCAGGGCTTAATCCCTGGGACCGAGGCATGCCCTGGAACCCGGGGAAGGGGAAGGGATTGGGGGTGAACTACAACTATATACACAACAACAACTATATACACAAACTAAACTACTAACTACAACTACAGCTACTAAGCACGCTAAGGGAAGCATTTGCTACACAAGCAACTGCAGTTCCAACGACTGTCACTGGCGGCAAGAAGGAACTGAGGAGGGGCCAGGTCAGCAGGGGTATATATTCAGAACCATAAAGGCGCCGCTCCAGGGGGCTCCACAGCCGACCCGACGGGAGCTGCTAAGGAAAAAACTTTCTGACGACAGTGCACGCAGCGTGCGCACACCTAATTGGAATCAATGGGAGTAATCACTCGAAGAAGAACAACTGTGCCTTGGGGAGGGGAGGAGTCAATGCTACTCTAGTGAAGCTGTGATGCTAGGCAGCCATTTCAGGACTACTGGGCCCCTGCAGGGATGGCCCTGCGATCTGCCAGGTTTGTGGGCAGTTTTTCTGTGGGGACAAAAACCTTGTTGAGATTTCCCAGTAAAATGTCCTATCCTGTAAATTTTGCCTCTGGAAGGGGTGATGTGGCCCCTGGTAATGTTAGGCACAGGATTAGATATCATCCTAGTTCTTAACAGATATTATTCAAGTCACAAAACCACCTCCAGCTGGGCAGGCTCTGTTCAGGAAAGGCTCAAGATGAGTACAGACCAGGACTAAAATGCATTGGCAGAGATACTGTGGAAAATTTACCCACCTTAATTATACCACTATAATTCCTATGTGGACACTGATATTCCAGTATGTTTAGTTTATTTGCTTCCGAAGCAACTCTTCCAAACCAGAAGGCGGCATTCTTACTCTGAAATAGTCTCCACACAGGGAGTTATACCAGTGTAACTAGAACAGTAAGTTTCCTCGTATAGACAAGCCCTGTACATGGGGGAACATGTATAGTGCAGTCTACACTAGCAATGACTCCAAATCCTAATCTAAGCCTCTTTAGGGAAGATCTACATGGAAAATTTACATTGGCATAGCTATGGCTCTCATGGGTGTGAAAAATTTACACCCATGAGAGACCCTGTCAACACCAGGGTTTCGGTCGGCTTAACTATGTCTCTCGTGTGTGAATTTTTCACTCGCATGAGACACATGGGTATCCTGATGTAACTTTTCAGTGTAGACCAGGCCTAATTCATGAAAGCAGCCTGTGAAGAGCCAGGAACTGAGGTAAAGAGTGATTCCCACTGATTTCAATAGGAAAAGCAAACTGCTTCGAATGATGCTTTTTAAGTAAGATTTAATATGTAGTAAAAAAAACTGGAAGAGGTGGATAAGTGTAATTTTGTTTGCAACAAACTTGCTTTACAAGCCAATAGGAAATATTTCTCTGGAAAGTTGCTCTACAAGTTAGCAGCAGTTTGAAGTTGCTCAGAGGTCTGGAGTATTATAATAGTCCAAGGGAGAAGGATTAATCAGAGTGCAGGTAAAGTGTCAAAGACACAAACTGCAGAACCATTTAATAGATTTTATTTACCTATGGTTTAGTAATTTATCGTATGGCTTTCATCTCCAAATGTGTTGTGTGTGTACATCTCAGACATAGGATTTCAGAGAAATCCTCTGGAGTTTTCCTTTAACTGGAGGATATTTTTGATAGTCTCCTACTTCATGGTCAATGCCAAGCAACTTAAATCAGCAGTACTTTCCCTTACACATACCTTCAAATATAAATTCAGACAGAATTTATATTTCATGAGAAAAAAAAAAAGTCATAAAAGGGTCCCCATATTTCCTCAGGCAGATTTTCAGTTATTCACTAAGCTGACCCAGTGGCTTAGTACGCAGGTCAGGACTCTTCCTACATTTCACCGGACAGTCCTGATCTAAAATGGCATGCAAGCCTACATTTCCAGACAAAAATTTATTTTGGCCATTGCAACAGGAGAACATCGCATCAGTGACATAATGACAAAATGTCCTCATGACCTAGTGCAACATCACTGTTGTTGTGGTGCCATGACAGAGAATCCAATATGTACATACCCAAGTATTGCCTAGAGAGAAGGACCCTGCTTAAACACAAGCTGGATATGACTATGATCTCAACAACAGAACATATTTACTTTAGTTTTAAAATATGGGAGTAGATTACTGACAAAAAAACCCTAAACTAATAGCAATGATGAAAAAAAGGCATGTTTTCAGATCTGGCCTTTACGGTAGAGCTTTGGCATAAATGATGATCAAATTCCCCCACTTACATGTCTACCTTTTTTATACAGGGTCATTAGCTCCTTTTTAGACTAGTAACCACATTCTTGCTAGCAGTGCAAACATTTAGCTTTACATTCTACGATTATGACGTTTCTTTTTTTCTGATCAAACTAACACATACAAATATTCGGTGATGCGTCTGAAGTTTCCTTTTGATCATCTTCCAGTGCATCGGAGGAGGACATTGGATCTGCAGCAGCCTGCATGAAATAAGAATGCAAAGGACAATGGGAATTATAATGAAATGGTTTATACTCCTCTCTCCTTGTTTTAAATATTATACATGGATTCAGACTAACTAAATTAGTTATACAGTGACAGAGCCCAAAATCTGATTTTTCAACGGCTCTTTTGTAAGCTGGAAATTTATGATACAAAAAAAATATATTCAAAAGACATTTAAAATCTCTTTTGAAAGAGAGAGTATTTATAACTAATACAGAGCTTACACAATCTGATTAAACATTCTAATCGAGCAGACTACTCTCTTTAAATCATTATAGAGAAGAATCGTGTGTGTTAGAAACCACTGTGCACAGATGATTCTAAAAGCATTGCTACTTATGGGAAACATTGTATTTCACAGCTTTTTAACTTGTGTACCACTGGAAGTCTGAGAAGAGTGCAAATCAGATATCACAAACTATCTACATTCATTCAAAAGGGTCTGTTATGTATTATGCCATTTTAAGTTATATGTATGAGAGAGAGAGAGAGACAGAGAGACTACAAAATAAGGCCTGATCCTGCAAACACTTATGCACATGCTACTTCCCACACATGAATAGTTCAAGTCAATGGGACATGAAGTCAAGCTGTAACTCTTTGAAGGATTGAGGTCTATCTGACTTGATGTCCAAATATTTACCTGAAAATTTTACAACTTGTGATATTTGAGACAGCTCTTTGACTAGCAAAATCCCTTCGATTCGTAGTTAATATATAAGCTTTAACAACACACAACTACAGACAACGCTCCCTGTAATTCAACCTGCAGTGTTTTGGGACTGACCAAATATCCAAGCAAGTCAGAGAAATATAATTAATGCCGAAAGATACTACAAACAAAGTAAAGCCCAACTGCGAGCTATGTTTACGCAAGGGCTTGATTTCAATTCTTTCTGGTAACTGTTGGGAGGATCTGGAATTCTTCATCAACATGTTCACACGCCAGTGACCAGATGTGGATCAATAATTATTCAGAGTTCCTTCCAAATGAAAGCGCTGGTAATGAAATCAACACCTACCAATATTTACTTGATAACCAAAGTAATTTCCAAAAGGATGTACATTTCCTATTTTTAAACCTTCAAGTTTGTTAGTTTCTTCCTACAAAAAAACAAAACAATGCCTCATAGGAGGTTTTCACCACCTCTAACCTTATTCTTTCATACCACAATATTTCTGCTTACAGAAATTCTAGCACAGTTTACATTTATCACGTTGTGATCCGAAGTAAAAACAATTCCAAACTTGGGTGCTTAAAGTTAAATACCCAAACCCATATTTAAAATTCTGAACACAGACAACTTAGGTGCTTCAGTACAAATATAGCTGCTACTTTTATGCATCCAAGTTTGAACCAAGATGAACAACCCAACAAACACATACCACAGTAAATTATGTATTTTTTGACTGCAAGTTCATCTTATATGGCAGTTTCAACAGCCTCTACCCCATCACAGATCCCATTTAATTCATATTTTTACCTAGCAGTGCCTTTTTTGGGGCACTTTAATTGATAAGACCTAAAGTAAGGACAGACAAAGCGTATCTGATGGTTGAAAGCTTTATACTACTTTTAGAAAGGAAGTTTTACTTCTCAAATCCTTGGGGCATTTCATTAGTCAAGTCAGTAATTCTCAGTTGTTAAATACTAGGGGTGAAATCCCACTCCCAGTGAAGTCAGTGGGATTTTTGCCATTGACTGTGATGCAGCAAGGCTCTCAACCCCAGCCAGCAGCAATCAAACTCCCCACCAGTTTTCTGACTTAAGTAATTTAAGTAATTCAAGGCAGTGCACAACGTACTTGTTCTGCAGTAAAAGAATATTTATAGACAGGATACAATCATCAATATAATCAAGTACTCACTCAGCCTCTGAGTACCCATTTTCTGAGCCTTCCAGAGTAAGCAACTCTATTCAAACATTAATAATATTTCATATTATGTTTTTCAAATATGAGGCATAAAAAAAACTAAATTCTGCCATTTGTAATGGCTTTATCAATATAACGAGGTTGAATGGGGGGTGGGGGTAAATACTATTTGCCAGATGAAACAGAGTCTTAATTTTATGATTATTCCACACACACAACTGTCTTCCATATCAAAGTATTTGCAGGAACATGGGAAAGTGAGTTGAAAGAGAAGAAGGGAAACAGTAGGAATTCAAGGATGGCAAAGGGCATCTAGGCCATGATTCAGCAAGGTACTTAAGGTGCTTACAATGAGACTGCTCACATGCTTGAAGTTACTCTTACAGTTTTACCATGAGCCCTTGAAGTCAGGTAAGTAGGTGAGAATCTCAGCTTTTACTTAAAAATAAAAGGGTACATTTCTACCCCTCCCAGTTGCAGAGAAAAGCCTGAAAATAAACCCTAGGGGTCCCAAATCTGGACATCAAATAACAAGAACCCACGGTTAATCTGATTATTTTTAAAACAATCCTATGATTTTTGAATGCTTGGGGCTGATAACAGTGGGCATGTGCTTAAGTACCTTGCTGATTCCGGGCCTTGTCAAGTGCCTTCTATCATCACTACTGGGGAAGATGTTATTCACAACCCTACCTCGGGCTGTTGCTCCTCCAGCATTACTGACGTGTGGTTTAATTTCACCAATCCGAAAAAGCCTGTAAAAAATTAAAAGATGGGTGGGGGGAAATAAAAGATTAAGGGCTGTAACTAGCAAAGGTTGGAGCATTTATGAAAAACTAAAGAAAATACTGAAAAGTATAGGCATTTCTATCCCCCACCTTCTCCAGATAAATAGAAAAGATAATAGAAGCAACCTAAAGATATATTGCACAAACTTGTTTATGGATATCTGGATCAACGGGAGTTGGAAATAATGGGGATTTGGAGTTTGCCAGCCCAGCTACCCAGGGTTCTGCAATGTACAGGGTTACTAATTTCTGCAGATCACCTATACACAAATGGAAATACAAGGGACGGTGTGGGGGAAGAAGAGAGAGTTCTTGGTAATAGGAAAAGTGTTGTTCCACTGTATGTGCTTCTCTACCTTTTTCCTGACATGACCCATATCACAACAGAAAAGAGTTTCATGCACCATCTCCTTTATTTTGGGGACGCCTCTGCCACCTGGCTAAAGAACAGGAAGGTGATCACAAATGCCCACACCCTGGACCCAATTGGTGGACTCACAAGCCCTAGGCTGAAAAAGCAGGCATTAGTTTTTGCCTCCCATAATGAACATTTATATTGGTGTCATGCATCACACAAAACATCATGAACAAAGAGGCATGCCTCTCAGTAGCACTAAGGCCCCTTCGCACAGTTCTCTTTCTGGATAAAGAGACCTTAGTGTAACTTAAAATCAGGCTGTTTAAAGGCTATGGTGACCAGATGTCCTGATTTTATAGGGTCAGTCCCAATATTCAGGCTTTTTCTTATACAGGCGCCTATTACCCCCTCCCCTACCCCTATTTTTCATACTTGCTATCTGGTCACCCTATTAGAGGCTGCTGAGATAAGTTTGCCTAATTCGTCCCACGCTTGTTTTCAAGCTTCATTCTTCCACGCTGCAGCATATACCCAGAACACCTTCTTTCTCCCTGGACCCCATCATGCAAGGTTGATAAAAATGGACTTCAGTTATAGTCTAGAGCAGGGGTTCCCAAACTGTGGTATGTGAACCCCTGGGGGTATGTGAGATGCCTCTGGAGGGTGCATAGGAGAAAATATGTAATGGTCACTTTTATTTTATTAATTGCATTTTCATAATAGGCTACTCAGACAAAGCTTTAAAACACTGTGGGAATTTGTTATATAAAATACGGTATTTACTTCAAGATGTACCAATGAGAACAGATACACAGAGGCACTGATGTACAGAGCCCTCACCTCTAATCACCGTACACCACGGGTTCAGTTGCCCAGCAACTGTCCAATCTAACTGAGCTCAGAACTTGGGGTGGGGGAGAGGGTGTTTGGTTGTATATGTCACATTATAACTATATCTGTATGTAACAGTGAAATATGGACAGATGGCTAAAGACAGTGTTAAGAAGAATACACAAAATATCAGTGATGAGAAGGGTAGGAGTACACAGGCTGCTGGTAGATCTGGAAGGCAGTATGCAATAAGAAAAATTGGGAACCGCTAGTCCAGGGCATGCGGCAGATTGTAAGAACTATTAAATTAAATGACTATTCCTTCCTTATGCAAACTTCTTCCACAGAACCCATCATTGTTAACCCACCAAAATAAATGTTAATAAAATAAAGAAATAATGAGCATGCAGGGCCTTGGAATCAGAGTCTTCTGTAACCTGGTTCATTGAGAAAATACTGTTCAGACATACACTTAGAATGCGAACTTTTTGGATCGGGGCCAGGCTTTACTTCATGATCTGTACAGCACGCAGCGCACTGATGACATCTAATAAAATCAAGCATGACTTCACCCTCCATCGAGTCAGTCTACCTGAACAGATCATGGAAGACGCTCATCCAAGATTATCTTATTTTTTGCACACAGGGATGTATGAGACACAGACTGTACATATGCCTTCACCGCTGTTGCAATACATTAAAAGGACAACATTTTAGTCTTTTGGTGCATGCTAGATTTCTAGTTTTAATTCAAATGGATTTTTATTGCTTTCCAGCTGCCACTTAAAATTGGATATTGGAAGAAAAAATATCCAAAAGGGCAGCAAGAAGCATCAGCATGTAGCTCAGACAGCTGCCCATATGTATAGACCAGCCTTAATGATTCACACGATAGGGTTGTCTACTGCTACTGGTCACCCAGCAAACTGGACGGGGGAGCAGGGAGAACAATTGCAGTTCAGGCAACAAGACAATTCCAATGAGACTAAAAGCCTGACTCTGCAGACTCTTTGTAGGCAGAATTCCCCATGAAGTCAGAGGGATGCTATGCGGAGAGCAGCTACAGATCAAGCTCTGAGCCTGTGGGGCAAACTACATTAACAAAACAAAAATTACTTACAAAGACACCAAGAGATTAAGTTCCTGATGATTTGTCCATACACAGACAAGAGTTGTAAGTATGCCACATAAATTGCCAACGTTCTTTCAAGAAGAATTATTTTTATTACAATGTGCAGTTAAGAACAAAACCCCCACAACTCCACCTGCTTTTTCTTTTTAAAAAAACATATGCAAAACTTGGACGCCAACAGGGCAGGAAGAGACTATAAGGTAAAGGGATGAGTGAAGCGGAAATGCTATTTTAACTTACACCTGTCTTTTATGCCTCAGTAGCATCGTACATAAACATAATGAAAGGGAAGTATCAGAGGGTAGCCGTGTTAGTCTGTAGTCTTTAAGGTGCCACCGTACTCCTTGTTGTTTTTGTGTAATGAAAGGGAGTTCCTGCTTTGAATAGCTTGCATGCTAAACAGACAATGCAGACAAGCATAACTCCAAATTAGCCGTGCCTTAGTTACTGACCTATTCCTCTGTACTAGATCAACTTGGCACTTGATTTGCTCATTTATGTACAAATAACCAGAGTTTTTCCAGCATCCTCATACATCTGAGCTCTAGAGCCAAACTGAAAGGTTTGGTAAGTTTGAACACATGCCTTTTACCTACAGTTGGGGGTTAAAAAGAGTAAATTACAAGCTCCAGTTAAAAAGCAAACTCTTATACACAGGCTTGGAAGGATTAGATTTTTCATCAGTAAGTATCACTGTACACACAAAAAACAAAAAACTATTTCCATCCATAATAATTGAAATTTACAGATAGGCAAAGTAAGAAAAATGCTGCTTGAGAACTAGACTTTGATTTAAAGATATTTACTCTGTATATTTTGACATGTGATGTTGACAATTTGTGTTTTAGCAATTATAAAGCTTTCATTTTTTTGAATCTCAATGTCTATTGTCATTCATTGTCAGACCCCCTCCCACTGTCTGACACACACCCACATGCATAATTTTGCATAACAGTGAAAATTTAAATTGATAAAAATTGAAAAAATGCTTAAAATTAAACATTGAGATTATCTGTTGAAATTATTAAAAAAAATAGAGCTCTGCCAAGCCTCGTTATACAGAAGCACCAAGTGATTCTAAATCATCACATAGATAAAATTTAAAATGACCATCTCCAGTTCTCACCAAATTGTGGATGCCACTAAGCACAATTAACGGAAAAATCTTCTCTTAACTTTACCTAGTTAATTCTAGCCTCAACAGCATCCCTTCTCTGTCCTGTCTGTTTGGAATGTAAGCTCTTTTGGGCAAGCACTGTCTCTCACTGAGTGTACCATGCCCATCAAAATGGGGCTCCAATCTCAGTTGGAGTCCTCTAGGCAGTACTGCAATACAAATAATGATAATGCAGCACAGTATAGTTGAGGTTGACCAACGCTTTCCATTTTAAGATCCTGTTTTCAGTTGCTTATAACTTTGCCAAAGTTAATTGTTTGGGATGAAATTTACCATGCCGGCTGTCCACAATTTTTTTTTGTGAGGGGATGGGAGGGAGGAAGATTTCAGACAATGCTTCAACCCAGGAGCGCCACCAGCTTTTCTGCAGCCCTAGGCGGAGGAAGGTACCGCCCCGAAATGCCGCCCCCCCCAGAGGCGGAGGAAGGTCCCGCCGCCAAAATACCACCGCGGTCGCCGTCCCCCAAATTGTAGCACCGTAGGCAACCGCCTACGTCGCCTAATGGGTTGCGCCGGCCCTGCTTCCACCATTTCCATAAACAAGACCAGGGAAAAATATATTGTTTTTCCCCATGTTAAAAAATTCGTACAACTGTATTGTTAAGAAGCTCTAACACTCCCATGCTTGGGAGCATGGACTTGAAATTTGGCACGGGTGTTGCCATAGTACCAGGACATGCTTTTTGCAATCTTAGCGAAAATCTGCTCAAATTTGTCCACGTTCAGAGCCTCTGAAAAAAATCTCAGTTTGCACATGCTCATTAGAGACTTGAGAGAGTGGCCTGAAGTTCTCCAAAGATTCCATCTGTACTGATCATGCTCTGTCCCCACACAGCTCCTATGGTCTGACCACATTTCACATGCACCATCCCTGTGACTCAGCATACTCCACCCCAAGGTTGCAGGAACCGAGCAGGACTTTCCTTGCAACTGCTCCTTTCACCGGCCAGCGACTGCTGCGGCACCAAGCAGAAGAACTGAGAGTAGGGAGACTGTCTCTCCTGTGCTCACAATACTCCTGTGACGGCCCCCCACCCCCTTTCACGATGCCACCTGGAACTGGGGTACCACTGAGCCCGCCTGACCCATCAGCCTGTATTGCTATACGCTGTATTGCTGAGGCAAGCCAGTCAAGCCTTCCCCCAGGCTTCAGACTGCATTTTACCAGCACACATACAGGTAGGGACACACCCAGCTGCAACTACACACACAGATGCTGAGATCAGCTCTGTATGGGAAGGCTCAGCTAAGGAACTGCCCAGTACTCAAGTGCACACCCCCTCTGGAGGGTAAACCCAAAATTATACTATCTTGCACTACACAGAGAACTGTACAGCCTAAGCTCATGAAATTCGCCCCCTCCCTCAATGTGGAGGGGAATATACACAGCTTTCTGCCTCAAGTTATGATTTCCACACACACAGGTTTTAAACAAAACAAAAACAAGTTTATTAACTACAAAAGACAGA